CAAGGGGCTCTGCTCAGTAGCTCAGTATAAACCCTGACCTGTGGACTCCATGTGGAGAGAGGCGTGTGGGACATAGGAGATGAATGAACGATGGCATTATTATCAATACATCCAATTACGCACGGGAAGACACAAAGTTGGGAGTTAGTGCAATCCATTGGGTGTGAACGGTGACATCCTCTCAAGACTGATGTCTGCCTCGCAGTCCTCCAAGTCACAAACCGAGTCGGTGGCATTTTCATTATTGTGAGAAAACTGTGAAATCCTGTCAAACGTCTCTTCATGCTCAATACATTCAACCACGTTGGGGATCATGTTGACGTAGGCGTTCGCGATTTCCTTGTGGATGAGGGTGTCTTGATTGTATGACACCAGCTCATTGCTGATGTTAACAGTTTCCACTGGCGTGCTGGAGCAGAAATTGCGACAGCCCAAGAGGCTGGCAAAGGCCTTCCTGAACTCGGCGTTGAAGGCGTAAATGATGGGGTTCAGGGAGGAATTGGTCCAGCCGAACCACACAAAGACGTCGAAAGTGGTCTCGCTGACGCACGGCAGGCCCGCGTCCCGGTCTGTGGCCGGTCTGTCGCAGAACGGGACCATACAGTTCAGGATGAAGAAGGGTAACCAGCAACACACAAAGACACCCATAATCACCGACAGAGTTTTGAACACTTTGGTTTCCCGTTTAATCGACGTTTTCAAGGTGTTGTGGTGTTGGCACTCTATTCTGTTGGTCCTGCAACTTTGAGCGTGCTCTGCTGCTCTCTCCAGGGAGGCTATTCTCCTAATTTGTATTTGTGCAATCCGGTATATTCTGGTGTAAGTCACAATCATAATTGCCACGGGAATATAGAAACTTATCAAAGAGGAGGATATAGCATACTCTCTGCTCAGGCTGGAGTCGCAGTTTTCCTCTATCTGCCGACTCGTAGAAGAGTTGTGCGTCCCGGCCAAGTCGTCATCGCTGGCTTTGTGCCAGTTTAGCTGGACCGGTATGAATGAAATGAGCACAGACAACGTCCAAGTGATGCTTATCATAACAAAGGCAACACGCTGGGTCATTTTCCTCTCGTAGCGGAAGGGGCTCGAGATGGCCCAATATCTATCCACGCTGATAATACAGAGGTTGAGGATAGAAGCGGTGGAACACATAATGTCAAAAGCGACCCAGACGTTACAGAAAGTGCCAAACGGCCAATAGCCCGCCACCTCAGCCACTGCTTTCCAGGGCATCACCAGGACGGCCACGAATAAATCCGACAGAGCCAGGGAGACGATGAAAATGTTGGTGACTTTGGTCCGCAGGTGCCGAAAGCGCAGCACCGCGGAGCAAACCAGGATGTTCCCGAGCAGGGTCCATAGGATGAGTAGGGACAGCAGACAGCCTGTCACTGTACGCACCACCATATCCTGCCTCGCGTCGTCTGTTGCCTCCGTTTCGGTGCTGTTCCACATAATCTCTCCTCGGGGTGCCGGCACAGAGTCAATCCCCTGCACCGATGACAGATACTTGGCTGGGTTCTCCATGTGCCTCTCTTCAAGTAAAACTGCAGTCCATTGCTCCGTGCGCGGGGACGGTTGCAGTTGTCAGCCACTCACCGTATTGTCCCCATTGACCCGTTCGGCTGCCAGCCTGATGTGGAGTGCAAAACATACGGAAAGAGATAAGTAAGCGCGTTAAGACTGAGCCAAGCGACGTGCCAGGTCCGCTGAGGGGCTGAAACGGAGCAAGCAGTGGCGAGCGCATGATGCAGCCTTGCTGGGTCCGGTCGTCTGACCTGGCTGCCTCTGTGAATCCCTCCAGTCCAAGGTATCCTGAGCGCGGTGTGGGTGAGGAGGGAGTCCCTGCAGCCTGACACACACTAACCTAACCAGGGCTGGGCGCAGACAACATCACGCCTCCTTTTGTGCGTGGTGTTACGCACAGCAATGCACTGCATTAGAAAAGGTGTGTGAGGAAGTCCTCAACATTTTGAGGGGTTTTTCATCGTCGTGTTTCACAGTGCGTAATTACAAACTCTAAATCAGTCGAGAGCTGTCTGCCAACTGCGGACTGTTTATGTGGCAGGGGTGACAATGTGCAGGATCCAAGTGCGTGTATCTGGACTATACAAAAATACTAATAAACAGCAACTGTGTGCATCTAAATGTATTCCATGTACCGTATAGAGCTTGCAGACACACCCAAGCAGTTCACAATGAATTATAATCAATAAGAGGACCTTTAATAGGAAAGAGAACGGAGCCTCTCCTGCAGCCTCAACTAATAGCGGCAGAGCTGTCCATGGTGCTGAAAAAGCAAACAGCCTGGAGCATAATGCCTTCATTATCGTTTCAACAAGCAGGAACTCTATCTATCTATCTATCTACTGCTGTTTTAATGCCTTGCAGCATGAATGTCATCAATTCATACTTTTATCCCCAGCACCATGTCCACCACCACCTGCCATTCCTTTAGCTCAGTGTAAAGCTCCAATGCAAAGTAAACAATCAAAAGTCTTTTAAACACATTTTATATGGATAATTATAATTCAAATGTATACTTTTCAGCCTGGTGGTATCATGCGAGAATTGATCTTTTTAAAAATGGAAAAAAAAAATCAATCGTTTGTAGACTGAATACTGGTGTTTTGCCCTCTGACTGACGACCGCCGAGTGGAGGTCATAGCTCACCCACTTTTCAGAGTTGCCTGAACAGGTGAGTCACATTCACACTCAGCGGGCATGTTAAAGCCAGGAGCTTCGCGCGCGCCGTGCGTCGTCGTGTGTTTGTGCAACAACCGTTTCCGGCTTTGAAACGTCACGGATATTTTTAGATGTGTCTGTGCGCCTGTCAAATCGTTCTGACTTGACGTCAAAATAATCTCCCGATGCCCGATGCCAAATTCTCTGGAGTAACCTATAATCTCAGGATGTCATGTCAAGAGGCAACCTGTGTCCGACACAACGTTTCCTTCTTTACATACAGACTACAGATGTTACCCCCGCCAGTGAATTACTGTGCTAAAGGATCAAAAGTGTGGTGACTGTTTTTTTTCCAACCATGGCCAAAGAGGTCGATGTCTAAAATGCGTGTATGTAGACTGTTGGTGTTGCGTTTAAGACAAAAATGACAGAACAATATGAATGAAGTTATTTTGTGTCAATATTTATATTCTGAATAGTTGCCGGAACATATTATATAGTAATTCATATGAAGTCACAACACAAAGACTCAGTTGTGTTGTTGTGATAGTTTCTCATTTATTATTCTGAATACTTGTGTTGTTCCCTAAATGTAACTGTATCTTAGGGTGTTTGTTTTACCAAGATCTTTGTAAGAAGCAGGCATTTATGAAGAAGTGATGGAATAACGATCCAAGCTGCAGATACCTATAGTACAGGAGCTGTCCTAGCAAACTCTTTAAAAAAACATAAATAGGTGGCGCCATCATGTGGTGCAAAGCTCCACTACAATTGCTGCTAATTTCAGAAGTTCAGTGTAACTGTAGATTAACAGAGATCCTCAGGGTTGAGACCAGACAACATAAGAGGATAAGAACATCAGAGATGTGACAGGTCTTGTATAAGAAAAAAAGAAAACTATTCTTTATTTCAATAGGTGAAAGATATACATTCATCACTATTGTACACTTCATTTCATATGAGCACCATTTCATTGGAATTTCACAAAATTGTATCACAGTGTCTGAATGATTTTGATCAGTATGACAGTATTTACAAAGATGACATAATATTGCAGTTTGCACCTAAAAAAACATGGATTTTACCACAAGTTGGCACATAGCGAGAACACAGGCAGTGGATAGCACCAGGTTGAGAACTTGCTGACTAAAGCTATACATTGATTTGATATAAAATTGTACAGTACAAGTATACAGTATATCTGTGTTTTATATTTAAAAGAATAATTCATGTCACAGACAGGGATGGTTTTTATTGCTGATCCTTCAGGTGTAAACATACAATCTCTGGTCTGGTGTAGCAGTTGCCATCACAACATTTGATTGTCGCCAATATAGTTTTGCTGTAATAATCCTGGAACTATTCTGATACAAGATTCCCACTTTAATAATGTAGACACATCTGATTCGAACAATATTAAACCAGTGCCTTTTCATGTGAACATACATGAATTCAGTTTTTGACAGGAAATTTGTTGTCTCACCTTGCACTTCTGAACATAATGTGGATACAGATCACAGGATTCCAGTATAATTAAAACAGTGCTACCTAGTAACATAATTTTGAACATAACTTACCATTCAATGTGGCAGAACAGAGAATCAGCATACAAAAGGACATTAATGAACCTTAAATTACTTAAATTTCTGAGAACTATAGTCCAACTCATAAAATATAGTGCTAAGATTGTCACTATCGTTGTAGCTTAAGTGTTGCATACTGTTCCATTAAACTACTAAGAAAAGTAAATGAGAACCATATCCATATACAGTATGAACATTTCACATGTCAAGTGGTATATCGATGCACTTGTGGCTCTGTTGAATACAGTACTATTACCTTATTAGATGTGTGAGACTAACAGGTGTTTCAGTGGCTTAGCTGGAGTATTTTGTGATATATTTTCAGCTACTAATATGAAACAGTACAAAATGTGCGTGTCAGATACAGCATTTACATTTAACATGATGCACCAGTGAGGAAAACCTACTGCAATGTGATTACATGACAAAAAGTACAAAGGGCCGTTTTGAAATTCTTGAAACCAACGGTTCTTTAAATCACCATCTTTAGTAAACCTTGCACAATATACAAGGTAATTTTTCAAGGAACGTAATAGGTTTGTCTTCCTCTGTAATCCCCACACTGAAGGATCTGCAGTTTGTTTGTCTCCACTGCTTGCTTTCAAGTCTGTTGGAGTGTGACCCAGACTGCCTCCTGAACGGTTGACCTGCGCTGTGAGACACTCTCGGGAGCCGTTGGTGACAAGTGTTCCTGTGCATGTTATCTGGCATTGTCAGTCATCTGCTATTCTGTCAGACCCGGCGGAACACCTCGAAGAGGGAGGCAACTGAGTGCATGCGGTAGAAAAGGTTCAAAGGAATGGCGAAATTGAGAACTGTGGTCCATATGCTGAAGCCAAATGTCTCCTGTTCCAACCCGTTGTCGTACTGTGGCCGGCAGCCAAAGGCTGGAAGGATCCACAGCTGAAAGAAAGAAATTAAATGAGTTAAGTTTTTTTTTTTGGCCACTTGGGGGCAGTGCAACAAGCTGTATACACAATTTTGACAATAACCACGATAGGAAGTTTTTGTAGCTAACTTGTTAGCAAATAGTTGTCTATTTACACATGTAGCAGACATGGAGCAACAGTAGTGTTTCAAAGTCATGTTCTGCAAGTTTAATTTTCACTCTCCCTTAGCTCTGCTTTGAAATATTTGTCTCTCTAGCTGCTAAATTCTCCACTATGTTCACCAGCTAGTTGCCAACTTTGTTTGCTATTTGGTGCTTGGCAGGGAGCATACCATGTTTTTTTTTAGAGCTTTTTGCTGGAAACAATTTTCATCTATGTTTGCAAACATGGTTGATGAGAGCTGTGAGAGTGAACCAAAACAATATAGTGGCCAATGAAACCAAGACAATGAGCTGAAAGATGCTAAACCGCTCCACAGAACTGAGGGAAATTTCTGTGATAATTCTCTGTGGATTTGTCACTACGAGTAACACCTGTCACATTACACATTTTCATTTGATACATTGTTAATTAAAGTATTGATTAGTGCAGCTTTAAATCTGTACAACAATCTTCAATTTGTGCTTCTGATATAAAGACTGAATGAAAAAAGATCTTACAGGAACATTAAATTTTTTAGTTAGGCATTCCCTTTCTATTCATGAACAGGACAGTTATTCAAAAGCTTTTTTCTTATACGTATATGAATGGGTTTAGTTGGTATAGTTGCACATCAGCTACCACAGTGATGTTATCCCCTACACTGCCACCTATTGGTCAGCCAATGTAAGTGCAACATACATTTGTCAAGATGGCCGATGCAAGGCCTGAAACACTGAGCAGGTCAGGAATATCTTTTCAATTCTTCTATAGTAGGAGACTCTTGCCGATAAATAAACCTTGATACATAGATATATTAAATGTTTTTGCATTGCACTGAATAATAAAATATGTGAACACATTAGTTTTAAAAGCATACATATTGGTTGCCATTATTTAGCCTTTTTTTTAGAACAAAACTAACTTCAATCTAATTAAATGTAATCTATATTCAATCATCAGTTGACAGGTGCTGCTTAAAGCTAAGCTAAATGCTTACCGAAATGTTGCACATTAGCAGGAAGACAGCGATGTTCTTCAGGATTTGCCTCTTTATATTTGGGGGCTCCACTACTTTGTTCCCTACAGGCAGAGGCACCTCAGAAGGTTTCCTCGGACATCTATACACCTGACCGCTCTCCTCCTGATCGTTCTCCATGGTGACACAGGCCCTGTCTGGAGTCTCATAGGCTCGGTTGATGATGCCGTTGTACGGTGGGGCCAAAGAGGATGTCACTGAGAAGATTTCTGGAGCAGCTGGTAACTCAGGGTCCTCCCTCTCTCCATCCTCTTGCTGGCGATATAGGGACTCTATGATAAAAAGGTTCTGGATGTACTTCTCCAGCACAATAAGCAGAGAGTAGACAAGGTTGGTCCAGCGGTAAGGAGGACTGCTGTTGGTGCCTAACGCAGCCACTATGCTGCACCAGGACATGAGCCAGGAGCCGATAGAGGACCCAAACAGCAGCTCTGTGTCTAGCTGTCTGGACGGGTTTTTGGAGGTGTCCAGCGGTATGTGATCCGCTCGGTATATGAGCAGACCTGAAGTACTGGCAGAGCACATAAACACCAGCATGACAATGCCGTATATGTAGAACATGGAAATGGCTGACTGACGCATTTTGAGGGATTCCTCTACATGGGTGATGTAAACCACCAGAATCCCAATAGTGCTGGCCAGTGCAAGTAAACCTAGGATGGGGCCTAAGGTCAGGCCCTGGGTTTTGGTAGCCAGCCTTTTCTGGTTTGAAGAAAGGTCAATGGTCCGTCCAATGTTCTGCCACATGACGAAGAGCATAGCGGAGACGAAGATGTGGTACTCGATGTTGAAGGGATAGAGATAGTAGAGGCTGCTGGAGAACATGGAGCAAGTGCTGGTGGTGCAGTTACAGTGAGGCTCTGAGTGCACTGCAAAATAAAAACAGATGCATATTCATGAGACATATATATATACATTTTATCCAGCCCTACATTAACACTGTTTGTCTTTTAAGACAACATTAACAAAACCACATCCAGCTATTAGGACATAATAATAAACTGGCAGGAGGAGCAAGACACTAAAAACATAAATATTAAAATAAACCTGAGTATTAAACTGTCATATGTGAATGCTTTGAAAGCCTTGAGGCAAAATTATAACAACTGAACCCTTTCTAATCTTAAATGTTTTCAATCAATTTTCAAATGCAGATTAGGTATCTTGAGTGTTGACAAGATAGTCTTATTTAAAGTTATACAGTCTCTTCTGAGAACTGCCTTAGTTCAGTGAGCACAAGGGAGATCACTTTAAATCATTTTGATGGCAGCAGCATATAAAAGGTTTAATTCATGTTTTGTGTTTTAATAAAGGTATAGGCCATCTTTTGCAGCTCAAAACGCCACAAATACAACTTTATATTGTACCTATCGATGGTATAAACTCTATATATTCCACCACATCATGCAATGGTAATGCTGTTGCCCTCTAGAGATCATCTCAACAAAACCCTGCCGTGTGCCCCTCCCTCACCCTCTCCTACCCCTCACCCCCCAAAGGCCACCACTATGGTACTGCACCCTTTAATTAAAAAGAGAACAGCAGTCAGGGTGCAGCCAGCCTCACAGTCAGCCGGATATGAGGAGGAGCAGCCGAACCCCCCAACCCTAGGCTTAGATGTATCAGTTACTGTAATTGCAGCACCCTTGGGAGTAAGCAGCCTGGGGACAAAGCTGTCTGAGGTCAAGCGGGGGGTTGCCAAGGAGGGCGGTGGTGGCTGAAGTGTAGGGAAAGGGCTGGGGAGGGGGCCTCAGCACTAGCAACACTGTGTGTCTCCTGAAACTTAATAGAGAGACGTTCGACACAAACAAGACCCACTGGGCTGCCAAGCTAACATCCCTTCCCCTTCACAAACCCTCCTCTCCTTCCGTTTTCTTTCATCCATTGAAGTGAGCTCTCAAGTGGGCTATTGTACTTTTCTTCTCAGTACAAGCCAGCAATCGACCCCTTGGCCCCTACCTATAGTGAGGTTTCCATAACCCAGGGCGGAGAGTCTTCTCTTATGGTTGTTCAAGAAGTGTTCGGCCTCTGACATCACACCGTTGCACCACAGGAGGAGGTTGGTAAAGACTGCATGGATTACACCAAATCTGAAGAGAGAAACAAGGTGACAACTAGGTTGATGACCAGTCATCTAACAGCATGTGGCAGTGTTATGAAAAAGGATGAATTGATGTGCATGCATATTCATATAGTGCACATTTTTTAATCGCTGGTTATGGCATGACTGTCATATCAAAAATGTTGTTTTATTATTTGTGGGTGCAACAAGATGAATATTAGATTAGATTAGATTAGATTAGATTCAACTTCATTGTCATTGCACAAGTACAGGTACAAGGGAACGAAATGCAGTTAGCATCCAACCAGAAGTGCAAAGCAAGTGCAGAGTAATGTGCATATGTACAAAAATATGTAAAATAATAATAACATTATAGATATATGAATATACTGGCAGGATATTTACATTATGAACAGTATTAACAGAATGAGCGGAGTGAGGTAAATATACTAAGATATATACAGCTATTAACATATTAAATATGACAACTAAAGTTAAATTATAATACCACATATTTCACATACCTCTCAAATGTTTCAAAGCTCTTGATGACATCTTTGATGTGAAACCAGAGAAAATGCACCTGAACAAAACACAAAAACAAGACAGAAAACTTTAATATAAAAAGTTAGAGAAAACATTATTCAAAATATAGCAAATTAAAGCATTTTAAATTTACTTGAGAGGGATTTAAGTCCGTTTACCAGAAGGATTTCCCTTGTCATATGCAGCTACACTCAAATAACGTGGACAATGATAGGATTATATTGTTGCAGCAACTCTGTACTCGCCTCATCAACAAAGAGCACATTATTCAAAGACCTACCTGGTTAAGCGGTGCACAGAAAAAAGACACAGTGTCTTACACTGCTGAAAGATTATCACTTTATTGAAATTAAAGCGGGGTTGTAAACTTACCTGCGCTATGGTGTGAGTTGCATGGATGACAGGATATACCCCGAGCACGGCCGACACACAAGACTGATAGCCAACATAATACCCGATTCGGAAAGCGTCCATAATCAGTGAAAGGAGTGCGAGGAGAGTCAAACCACCTACAAGAAAAACAATAAATAAATTATTTCAGGCTACATGGTAAAACAAATATTTTTTTCAGGTTTTCTTTAATTTCTCAAGCACAAAACATCCCTTAGTCCTAGCCAAGATTGTGGTTTTGGATTATTACATGCGTAAAGAAATAGCCTACAGTCATCTTCAAACCCCATGGAAAAGAATAACACCAGTTTGCTATTTTACGCATTTACTGCTGTGATCTTACAAATTCACCTCTTATCCAGCATGTGGTGGCGTGGACATCTTTCTCTGTCCGCGTGTTCTTCTGTCTGTCCCGCACCAGGATGTACCACATCATCCAGATCAGCTGTAGGATCATGAGGCAGGTGACAAAGGACAGCAGGTGCTCTTCCTTGACAGAGGGGCCATGGTGCGCAATAGCCAGCATCAACGCCGCCCCGATCAGCAACACATTGGTCCCGTACTGGCCGCTGAGGATCTCTGCGTTCTTCCTCGGATAGTCCCCTGACAAACTGCGTTTTAGTTTGGAGAAAATCTTCTTGTCCTGCTCGGAGCTGGACGACGAGGAGGAACTGTGACAGTATTTGTTCAGGCACATAATGTCCAGGCCGCTGTGCTCCACCATGGTGGGAGACATGTATACAAATCGCAGAGCCGAGAGAAGAGTCAAGTCAAAGCCGCGCGCTATAAGTGCATTTGAGGGAGGCCAGGTGCGTAACCTGTTGCTACAAGGTGGAGATTCAGACGAATAGGTACTGTGCCAAACATGCTCATTCAATCTTCAAGGTCCGGCTCAGTGGCCACGCATAGTTTCAATGTCCAGCCTCGCTGAGGATGGACTTGATAGATGCCATTGTCATCTTGAAACCCTGAAACTGAAATATCTGTTCGCGTAACAGGCTCGCTGAGTCACTGAAAATGGGAGATTGCGTTTCAGTCTTTGGTGATCCCAGACCCCCGTCCTCTTGAAACTCCCATATGTTTCAGAGAAATCACTGGGCTTGCTGTGCCAACCATTCACCACCTAAATAAGCAAAAACACTAAGCACGGAGTGATCCACAATAACAGAAAAAAACGCCCAAATCCACCTCTTCAGAGCAGCTGCCAGGCAGTCTTTCCAAGTCTGCTGAAATCCTCTCAAGGTAGCTATCGGGTGTTAAGCATGCAGGCCTGGATGAGATTAAAAGAAAGATGACATTTCACAAACCTGCGATTTTTACAGGCTGGAGGCAAATGACCTGTCCTAACAGCGCTTCAGATCCAGGTGCCACCTCCTCAAAGCCTTATGCCCAACTTGTGGTGGACATGTGCTGGTTGAAAACTTTGCTTTCAAGGTGGAAATGGAAGAATCAGATTTCATTGGTCAAATTCACAATGGCTTTTTGTGAGTGTATGTCAAGAAAGAGAGCACTGAGGCCATCAGCACTGAGAGCTCATATGGATGCGACCATGTAACCTCTGGTCCAATATAAACAGCTTGGGCGGATGCGCGCAATCAGCATAACAATAGAAGGGCTGCGCAGAGGCGATTGGTGTGATGTGAATTTAAGAGTCGATGGGGGTGGTATTCAGGACCTTTTAATCATCGATTTATTTTAAATACAAATATGGCTCCTTTTTTGAAAAACCGCCTAATTAAAAAGTGAAACACAATTAGTGAAATGGATACATGCAGTATCTCAGTGGCTTCACAATAGCTTCTATTCTGCTTTAGGAGTCTTGTCAGTCCCTCAGGACTCCTGAGTCAGCCCAGTCAAGCAACTTGGACTCCAAGAACACATTTTTTAAAAAGCAATAAGCCGCTGGGGGCAAATGGTTGGATTGATGGAATATGCTGAGGGCCCTTGGTGGTTAATTAGCAGCAGCCCAAATATTATTATTTTACTCATATTGGTATCCATTAATGTCACTTTCCCGCTCAAGTTATATATAAAAAACAAACAATGAACACTGGAGTAACTTGCTCTCCATTTGTATAAACACACAACAAACAGAGGGATAAGGACCATGCGCTAGTAAACAGCGCGCTATTGCGCATACGAGCGTGCCGCCCGCGACCCTAAACAGGCTTCAGTTCAGCATTTGATAGGCCTACATAAGTTCTTATAATTCCGACAGAAATTCTGCTTATTCTCCTTCAGTGGGACATCTGAGTTCTGCGCGTGGCACGTGGGGGAAACAACAGACACCAATCTTTAGCGTGCGCGCAGCTGTTGATTGGCGTGCAGGGCGACGTGTTTTGGAGCTGGTTAACAGCGAATGGGGATAAGACAAATGAATATCTTTCCACTTCTTTTCAACCCCTGGACAACTCCCTGTCTCTCATTAGTCAGAATGAGGGAGGCACTCCACAATAGCATCACGAGGGTTGGAGAGATGATCAAGTTATGCTCCTTAACCGCACATCTCTGCACCATCCGCTCTCTATTGATTTCTTGATCACTGAGAATCAGCGCGATAAAAAAAAGAGTGACTATCAGTGCCTTTATCAGCCCCTTAAATGGGTGACTGATTAAGTCCGAACACTTCGATTTAAACGGGAAGAGTTCACGCTATCTTCTGTTTGCACTTCAGGAACATCCCCAAGACAGCCTTATTG